TACTCCTGTTCTTACGTGTTACCCCCACTTTGGTTGATTTCAGCCGAGGAGAAGGCCCTTTACGACTTGGGTCATAAAGGCCCATCACCCGACACAATAAGCTTTCGTCTACCCTTTGTTATGTACTAATAGAGGTCGGGAGCACGACTTGCTCTCAGAGCAGAGGTTGCCCATCCCTGATTATGAGGACCAATTTTCTATGATACGGCCAAGATGAGAAAAGATTTCTTGTAGTATGGCTATTAAGAGGACCGGAATTTTATAATATGGACAGTATGCGGACAGACATTTTGCAATAAGTATGTTATGAAGGCTTTCTCCAAATGTCGGTCTGAGGGACGTGAACACAATCGAGGATATTTGGTCCGGTAAAATATTCGTAATGTAGAGTATGCGCTTCGGTTTTTTTTTCTCACCTTAAAAAAAGCCATCTCTAACTCAAACATTCCCGAAATTAAAATTGAATTGAATTGAATTCAAACAAATCAGTTAAAAAAGAAATCATTCTGATCAATTGATTCATCAATCAATTGTTTTTTTTTTAAGTTATTTAGAATAGATGCATAGCGTTAACTACGAAGACATTACATTTATAATATGTCTATTATGAGGACAGGCATTTTGTAGAAAGTAATTTATAAGGACTTCTATAGAATGTTCTTTTCAGTGATTTGCCTTGATATGGTGGAAGATCTTTAGACTGTTAAAATATGAGGAGTACAGTGTATTCAATTTCAACTTATTTCTACCACTGAAAAAAAATGGGTGCTGAACGCAAACATTGATTCAAATCGAAATGTACTCAACTAGGTAAAGAAGGGCGGAGTTATATGCAATACGAACAGATCTTTACAGGAAAAAATAGTAAATTATCCCGAGACAACATAAGTAATTCTGTTTTTGATTATTTTCTAGATTGGGTACATACCCCTCACGATGAGATGATAGTTATCACCTGTCTAATATCACGATAGATATTTTACATCATGTCTATTATGAAGACAAAAGTTTCATCATATTCACATCCTGAGGACTTTTGCCTAATAATGGTTTTAGGTATTTGTGCTTGGTGGTAGATTTTCACAAGAATGAAAAATTAGGGATGAGATGTTTGAAATTGCAAAGTTTTCTTTCCTAATGAAAACATAATTCTTGCATGAAGTCCAACGTTCACTCAAATCAGCAGTAACTTTAGTAATTGAGAAAGGGATAAGAATGATACGAAATTAAAAAAAAAAATGAAAAAACATCCGATAGGAAAAATTCTATAGATTTGGGAATTCCGTTTGAATTTTTATCAAGATTGTTCCTATAAGAAGGCTTGTTTTTCGTTTTTTCCGCCGAATTTGGTTTCGTCTTGCATTACGGAATCCGAATGAAAAAAAAACTAGACAATTCATACTCAAGCCTTTCTATAAAAAAAAATCTCCAACGGAAAAGTCACATCGAATATCAATATCTATTTCATTTTTCCTGTCGAATATCGAAACAAATGAGCGCAAAAAATAACAGAATTTTTCAAGAAGATTAGAATAGAAATCCAATGGAAACCCCATAAAATTTCTATACAGGGTGTCCCAGAAGTACATGCCGATAATTAACCGGCATGTACAGGGGGTGAGTCTGACCCAAAAACTCCTTTACCACTTTTGAATCGGAAGCACCCCTCCGGAGATACTGGGGTGAACAGGACAGCCAATGACGCTGCCGCGTTAAGCGGCAGTACGTCGGTGTGGCTGTCGCGCTCGAGTGTGAGTGATTCCCCTT